AGTACACGCCCCGTTACATCCATTATTACAATTTTAGCAAAGTTTCGCGGAAAGTTATTCGTCCATCTGTCTGATTTTTCAAGTGCCTAACATGATTTTAACCCTCATGCTAGAGAATGCTCTTATCGCTATTCAACTATACCCATTCCGCAAAATCCGACGCTCCTTTCGGTAGCTGCAGCTTGTGTAACAGAAAAAATACTAGCACTCGCCAAACTAGCGTGGATCCGACTCCACGCTTCAGCGCTCAATATCCCACCGCATCAAGCCCGAACCGCTCGCTAGCCAAGCACCCACCATCTACAACACGGAGCTCACGTGTTGAACTCCATCGGATTTGTTCGCAACTGTAGCCGATCATGTAGCAAATGGTCAACCGACCTCGTGTGTTTGTCTCAATACGCTGAAGGTTCTAAACACTGGCAACCGAACGTTGTGCGCAATTTAACCACGTGACTGACGCCTCGGCGTGGTTCACGACACAGCAACCCGGAAACAAACGTGTGCACTAGCCAGGTAGCCGATTCAACATGGCGCACCTGGACTATTCAAAGTGGAGTTAACTGTTGCAACTTCAGTAGACAATTCCACCCAAATTGCGTACAATTAGGCATAGTGAAAGAGCGACACAGCACACAGGACTCAATTTGGTTCTGTACAGAGTGCATGATCATCACACTCACAAGGGCATCGCCGTGCTGGCTCAGAAAGATGACAAATTGACTGTGACTGTACAGCGTGTCATGGCAGGCATAGTGACAGCATCGTAAGTAGCTGCATCAGAACTCGGCCCTGCTTGCCTAAAGTTAGACTCTGTCTTGGAACAGAGTAGGCTACCCGAGCGCGTAGCTAACAGCGAAGTGTTAGGTATACCAACCACGAGAATTAGCACCTAGGGAGGCAGCCACATTGCGCCAAACAGGTGACCCCAATATTGCAGAGAGAGATTTTTCCGGAAGTGTCTGTGCTGCATGATGATTCATTACATATATTTTCATTAAGCACGACCAAAATCCTGGCAATATACGCATGCCTGGTCGTTGCATGGAAATCCAAGGAAAAATTAGTGAGCATTTCTGCGACTATTCTAAAGATTGTTAGAAATGACGCGAGTATTAACGAGCCTCCGAAAAGCCCCATATCACGCCACCGGCAAAAAGAAGCGCTGTTCATGTCTTCTTCGTTAGAGAAGGTATAATGTTCACCACTAAATGAAATGAGATTGTGGGTGCAATTTGTGAAGAAACGCGACTCGCAGTTCCCTCGTTTACGCTTGTTTGTTTCCATCTTTGTAGGTTCTGTGTAAGTGACTGTTTCGAAATTTTGATCTTGTAAATAACATAAGAAACAAGGATTTATCAAGGGTAAGGAAGCAGATGGTCAACAAGTTCCGTAGGATGGTTAAGGTTGGCAAAACAATATCAAAAATAAGTGTTATCAGTTACAGTGCCTAGCGCTTTAAATACGAAGCTGTATGACGGTAGTGTGAAATAGAAATTGGATGTTAGCATATTAGATGTTAGCATGTATATATATATATATATATATATATATATAATCCAGCAACGATTCTTATGAAAACATAAATGCATAAGTGATCACTCGTCTAACGCTTTTTGTTTTCGTTGTGATATACGTATCCGATATATAAACGTCATTACTATTTTCCATAGCGGCACTGTTTATGTCACGCAGCGATGGAAGATAACAAACATACCCACTAGTCTTTTAGAAAAGAAAGAATGCCCAGAAGGGAAAAAGTGAGTTCGTCAGACATTCCAA